TCCATACTGTTGCAAAAGAGATTATAAGTTGGTCTTGGATACAAGAGATGTCCTGTGTGATTTCCGTAAGAGTACCATCCGTGCTTTTATGATCTAACTTTCCATTTCTCCGTACCTCCATCAAGACACCAACACCTGGCTAAATTACAGCTACTAGCCTCTCTCGTACCCTAGGTATCCACCAAGCCAGTTCAACATCTACAAAGCCACTGTGTGCTTTTCATTACCAATTTATGAGCCAATGGGAAGCTGGAAGAAAACTACATTAGGAAGGCACAGGCGGCAACAGCTTATGGAAGGAAGCTGGGAGAAAGCCAGCTAAGATGCTCTTGACCGGAAGTCTGCTCTTGTGTGCCCTTTTTTATGGGTGGCGAACTTTATTTTTTTGCCAAAACGCAGGGTCACAAAGACCTGAATTAACTTATGGTCCTGCAATGTGATTATGAACTGTAAGGTTGAATCTAAAAACATAAAAAATCAATCCATCACTCATGTGGTTAGCAAATGACACCATGAGAGATCCATTCAACTTATGCTGACAACTCATGAATCACGTTAAAATGAGTCTATATTAGGGTTGGGCCGATAGACGATGCCATCGTCGATGGCTGATAGACATCACGATGTTGAGCCGGCATCGTGATCCCCCCCCCATACCCCCCGCAATCTGCCGCATCCCAATACGGTGTTCGGAAACAAAATGACGTGTATACGGAACCCCTAAAGGAACCCCTAAAGGGAATAAATACGAGATGGGAGGAAAATATATATTTCAATATTTTTTCAATATATACTGGTATCGGTATCAGGCCCGATACTGAGCTCCTGTACTTGTACTCGTACTCGTTAAAATGCCCCGATACCAAACGCCGATACCACACAGCATGTGATAAGTGCCATATTCAGACAATGAAACACCGACATCAGACAGCAGAATGGAGTTATTAGAGATTAAGTATGTCTACGAAGTATATGTATGCAATGAATATAATGTTAAACATTCAGTATTAACGCCTGTATAGCTGAAGATGCTACTACTGCTAATAAATATTAATAAATCTTTATATTCAAAGGAATAATCACATCTGTTTTCTTTTTAATTTTAACAGTAAACCTCTGTTGTGCAGCACTTTGTTTGCCAAAAAATAAAAAGGTTTAATTTTCATTTGATTATAAATTAAATTAATGTTTTATGCCTTCATCTGATTACCAGAAAAATTAAGAACATTTTATAGGGCCCTACTATTGTTTAAAAAGGACCCTATACAAAAAAAAAAGAACAGGTTTAAAATACAGGCATGTGGTTTTTAATTTCTTTTTATTAATTCACTATTTGTAAACTGATGTTTACTGTTAATTTTTTAGAAATATCAATAGCATTTGTATTAAAACTATATTCACTGAATGTAATAAAAATAAATTGAGAATCGAATCGAATCGAGAGCTTGCGAATCAAAATCGAATCGGGATATCTGAATCGATACCCAGCCCTATAGTTAATTTATGTAAGTGAGGATAGCAAAATAAAGTAAACTGTGACAAATTATACCCAAAATTTCTTCATACAGTGGACTACCAGTAAAACTGATACAAATTTGGGACCAAAAATTATTCAGAACGAGTCTGGAAAAAAAAAAAATGTAAGTTATTTTTTTTTATTCAATAATGACATCAAAGTGACCTTTACTACCAAATGGACAGGTCACTAAACTGACAACACTTAGAGGTTGAATGAGTTTGCCGAATTGGTGGGAAATGGCTTTAACTACGATCCCTTACAAGACAAAGCAATTAACGTTTAAGATGGAGGCTGTAAACACTGCTCCATTTCCCGATGCAATTTCCCTGTAATGCCTCAATTTGATATGTAAATGAATTACGTTTCTGTGGATCTCCTCAAATGAACCTATTTCTGGTCTTCGATTCAAGTCAATGAAAAAACTTGACCCAGGTCACCAAACCCTTTGCCCAGCTGGCAGTTTAGATGGTGACGAGCAACAGGAGCAAGTCTGTATGCAAAAAATTCATGATGTGAAGAACTTACAAAACACTTACAAAACAGCCTCGGCAATCTCAATGGAGAACGTACTTCAGTATAAACAGTTTTCATCCACAGAGCCACATGTTGACCTCACACGCAAGCCATGCTTTAGAGGAAAAGCTTGTTAGGAGCCACATCCAAATCGATGTGTTAGGCTATATGCTATCTGATGAGTGAAGGGATTTGTCCTGATAAAGTAAGGACAAAGTCACACAGGGACAGACGGACTGAAATACTGATAGGGAGGTGGGCTATGGGAAAAAAACAGCACTTTTCTACTCTAGCTTTCATCATGAGTTTACAGAAAGATGAGCAAGAAGGGCCTAAATGCAGGTTAATATGCTCAAACAAGTCTATATAAACTGTGTATTTGTAAGAGCGTGTGTGTCCTCTCCTTCCAGAGCTATCAAATTTAGTAGTAGGCCTATGTTACGAGATGAATGGGGAATACTGCACTGTAAAAAAAAATCCGTAAAATTTACGGTAGAAAACCGGCAGCTGTGGTTGCCGGAATTTTACCGTAAAAGTAGCAACGTTTTAGGTTTTACGGTTTTAACTTAAATTTACAGTTAAATACCGTAATTTCATTAACTGATAAAATGTTATTATATACCCCTACATGACCTCAAAAATTTTTGGTGACGCAATATATCGCCCATTATATTTATTTAAATTAATGCCACCATGTTTTTTGCATTCCACTTGTGCCTGTGTCTTTTGCAGCTTCTCGTACATAACATGGTGTAGACATGAGGTGCTAGTCCAAATTTAAAAAATGCTTCTACAAAAAAAGTTTCATCTGCAGATATGGCCTTGTTTAGAGATCTGTGCCTTTGTGCATACGGACATCTGACTGCTAAGTAGTGATTGTGTTTTTCAGCAATACATGCAATATATCGCACAACAAAAAGTTGTTATTGTGACAGGCCTACTCAGGTGGTCTTCGAAAAGACTAACTAGCTTGTGTCCATCCCAGTTTGATTTATGTCAGCTACAAGAAATGAATGGCAACTACAATCCTGTCTAGGATGTTCTCGCAGAATACACATCTAAAAGTTGTTTATGTTATACAAAATACAGTATATTGTGTCCATTTGAGGCAACATGGTAAAATTTGAGTTTGAGGCTTGATGTAGATCTAAAGTTTAAAAGTTAAAGGTGCAATAGGAGATCTTGGAAAATGCTAACTTTAACCTGATAGCACTGAAAGCGAACGCAAGACCTTGCAAAATACCTAATATTACAAGTAAATCACTGGCTATCTCTTTAAATGGAATGAGTTTTCAATACAAATGCTTTTTGGCGGCAAAAAAGCCCCCTTTAAAATAACCCCACAGTACGTTTACAGTCGTTGCAATATTTCGTACAATGAAGTTAGTTAGTCTATTCAGAGCCCCGTGTCACTCTGCCACGGACACCAAAAGAAATCCAAAAACAGAGCTTGTCACACATTAAAAATAAATAATGTGGCCAAAAAAACAAAAAGAAACTAGAGAGGGTTGATTCATTCATGCTCAAGAGCACAAAAAAGCATGTAATATTTTAAATGATTCTGGAAAGGGAGATAAAAGAGTCACTATTTTAAGGGACAGGTGGCTCCTGCATTTCAACAAAGTACTGTGCATCAAAAAAGATGTCTCAAAAGAGACAATCTCCTATCATGCATCTCTTTTTTTCCCACCTCAAAGCAGCCTAAATCCAAGATTCATCTACAATCCAAATGATTCCACCCATTTTTGGTTCTGAAAAATAACCAAAGCATCAATCCTAACAAACACAGTGACAATAATATGCATGTTTAAACCATTCCTAAAGGTGACAATGTCTAAGGATGCAGTATAAAGGCTGATCGAGATGGCAACATGCAAAAGAAGAGCAGAAGTGTGTCCATTTTGAACCGGCATTGCTACTTCAGCACCACAGCAGAAGCCTTGCAGAAAACGCTATGGAGATGAGGGGTGTAGGCATAGCCAGATTTATCCACACACTGGGTAAATGGGCCACATCCAAATGTATTACAGAAGTGGATTGTAATAAGAATCAGTCATATATTTCCCTCCAAGCATCACGATTGTGCACGTATGAACATTATAAGGAAAATTGTAACGTCACCCTATATATTAAGATCATTGGAATAAAGTCGCGCTTTTATTCACAAAAAAATGACCTAGCACGGTCATATGTTTTGTTAAACGGTAAATACGTTAACCAATGCGTTAAAAAAACAACCAGATATCTGTCAAATTTCGATAGCTTTCAGGCATTCTGTGCACAAGATTTGCATCCCATGCAACACCGCAGTTTTGCATTAATGTAATTGTGGCCGAGCTGATGCTCTGGGATTTTTTTATCTCTCTCTTTTTTTTCTTTTTGTTTTAAACAGCCATTACATGACGACTGGGTGTCTAAAACAAACGTGATGGGCTAACCTGACTCATCAATCTGAGTAATGAAAAGCGATAATCGAAAGATGCGAAGAAAGAAATTGAAGGTCTCGTAATCGAACATGTTCATGGGTGCATGGCTGCAAACGCGAGTCATGCAATGGATTTGACTGATGCTTATTTTGTACATATCGCACAGAATTAGCTGCTTAATACTCGAAATGGTTGAAAAGAGATCGGGGAACATATATTGCACGGTTTTAATCATTGCAAATCACATCCACTGACAAACAAGCAGCCTGGCTGCCATGAGTTGAGCCGCTGCTCTCTGGATGGCACAGGAGGATAACGTTTAAATACCTGCTCGTGGTCTTTTGCATCTGACCCAGTTTACATGAAGTAACAAACCGAATATGTCCCCACTCCCTCCCCAAAGCCCTGGCCTGTGCATCAGGCATATTTGGGAACACGGTGTCTTGCGAGGAATAAGGAGGGAACAGGCTGAGAGTATCCGCGTAAAACAGACGATAGTAAGTTAGCGTTTTTGCGTGTTAAGAAACCAACTGTAGTCTTACCTCAGCTTCGTGTCCAGCTTCCCGAAGCAGCCATTACCAGTATTCCCCCTCTACCGTCCGAACCTCCGCCACACAGGTAACGTTACCGGGGCGGACCGAAAAACCGGCAAAACGACCCCTCTCCCCCCGAACCGCCACCCCTTCGGACGGGTTTCTGCGATCGTCTCCCGAGAAAAAGACGAAACGCGCAGGCTATCGTCTTGTCGTCGCTCTACAATCCCTCTTCAGCACATTTGTCTTTCTTTTCACAGTCCCCCAAAAGCACAAATGAGCGCGGCAGGAGCATCTTCAAACCCCCAGCGCGGCCAACCGCCGATCCGGTGAGCAGCGGCACATGCAACCGTGACAACCGCCTCTCGGTGCTCCGCGTTAGTCCGCCTCGACGTGGGAAAGAAATCGCTGGTAGTAGCGGTGGTGGTGGTGGTGTGTGGGTCTCGGCGGCTAGCGCTCAGGCCAACCGCGATCACATCGCCCAGCAGCGGCAGTGTAGCAGCGCGTCGCTCGCGGTGGTTTGCAGCAGCAGCGAGGGGTGAGAAGAAGAGTGATTAAATGAAAAAAAAAGGAAAAAGAAAGAAAAACGGATGAACTAAACCGGGGTTTCTTCGTCGCACCGCTACAATTAGCGATGTGCATTCACCAGGGACCCCCCCTCACTGCCGTTAATCTCGGATCTGCTCCGCGGCTGCTTGTCGCTTAGAGAGGGTCTGCACGGTAAAGCGCGTCCCCGCTACAAAGCGCGCTCGCCTCGGTGTGTGTGCAGTGTTCACAAAATGGCCGCCTAAACAAACCCTACAACGGGCTGCGCCCAGCGGCTGTTAGCGCGATTTGCCTCGGCATTTGCCTGTGCAGGGGAGGAAAACGATGCTTTTACGGGAAAGATGATTTAGAAAACGCGCGCTGGAGTGCCTTTTTGGCCCGTTTCAAGCTATTAGAAAGTGATAGGTTGAAGCCCAGGCAAACGAACAATGCCGAGGCTGTGGAGATGTGAAGCAGAATACTTCCAGAGCTAATCTACGACCATAAATGGTTATGACTAAGAAAACTTTTTATCTTAATTTAGCTCAACGTTTATATTTCAGCACAACCGATGTGGGACAAGACAATGATGCGATGAAGTACTTGGGAAGTTTTTCCAAAATGTTGTTTTCGTAGGTTATTACGTTAACAAGTTACATTTCCCCCCGTTCAAAACAGTTTAAGACCGTTTGCTGGTTTCAATGGTTTTTAGAGATGTTTGGGGCTTTTTCAACTGGGCAGACCAGCTTGGTAAGAGGAGAACAGTTTAAACCAGCCAACACCAACAAACCAGTTTAAGCTATTATTTTTCTGCTGAAAAGTGCCCATGCGTCTCATTAACTTGAATATATATATATTTTTAAAAACTTTGAATAATACTAATGTCTCAATATTTTGGGCTTTACAAAGCACAACTTGCTGCAAAGTTCGGTTACAGGCTTCACGGGATCATAACCGATAAAACACGTGCTAAAGCATATTACGCCACCGCAAATATATTGTATATATAATTTATTTCTTGCGTGAAACCACTTGTCTTTTTTTATGCGATACACTTCAGTTTGGTTAGTTATTTTATAGTGCTCAAATTCAAGTCACTAATGACACTAGTTGATAAAACACGAAAGCATAATAAAAAAATATATATATATGTGTGCGTGTATATTTTATATATATATATATACACACACACATATATATGTGGCATAGAGTCGCATCGTGAAAACGTCGCGCTCAAGTCTTCAGAATAGTGGGGTACTTCTTCAAGAAAGTTTTATCGAGGGGGTCGTGCAGTGGATGTGAAACTGATTAAGTTAACCTCGGTCTCTATGTACACCCTCTTTCATCATCTTTACATGAATTCCTCATTGTTCCAGGCCGAGGACACCATTTAAAACAGTCTGATTGTGTCATGTGCCAATGGGATAAAAAGACAAGGTCACAAATGTGACCAACTCCCCCCACGCAAGACATTCACACCAAACATATTTATAACCTTTTAGGCGCATTGTAGGCTTTAACATTCACACATCTGTAAGATTTTTGTGGGGACGTTAAGACTGAAATAAAGTCTGTCATGAATTGACCCCTACGTCCCCTCTCTCTATTCTTTCTTCATGTGTGAGACCTACCGTAGTTTATGACAAAACGAAAAAGTATATATTTAAATTGGATATAAATGAATTGGGCCGCCAGGTCAACCTAGGTTACTAAAATAAAATTTAAACATGCAGGAAGTTCGTCATCAAATTCAAGGTGAAAGTTCATACCTTTACCTCTGGCAAAGATCGACGCCATCTAGTGGTGTACAAAAACACTACAGTGAGTTCAACAGCGTTGAAAACCAAAAACAATCTTTTCAGGTCAAGTATACTGTACTGTTAAAACGGTCAGTAAATATGTTATTTTTAAAGAAATTAATACTTATATTGAGCAAGGATGCGTTCAATTTATCAAAAGTGACATTTAAAAGCATTTATAATGTTCTTTTTAACATTCTATTCATTAAAGAATCCTGAAAAAAAAGATTGCTGTTTCAAACACAAAAATATTAAGCAGAAAACCTGTTTTCATCACTGATAATAATAAGAAACGTTTCTTGAGGGCCAAATCACTATATTAGAATGATTTCTGAGGATCATGTGACACTGAAGACTGGAGTAATGGCTGCTGAAAATTCAGCTTTGCCATCACAGGAATAACTTACACTTTAAAATATATTAGAATAGAAGACAGTTATATACAATATTACTGTTTCACTGTATCTGTTGATAAAAAACGCATCCTTGGTGAGCATATGAGACTTCTTTCAAACACAATAAAAATCTTACCAACTCTAAACTTTTGAACAGTACTGTAGAGAGACAGAGCTGGGACCCCCTGTATGCATAGTGCAGAAAATTATAAGGTTATATTTTAAGCCTGGGCACTAATAACATGCAAATGTTCCATATTAATGTATTGACATACTTGTTTATGGTGCTTACATTGCTTTACTGTAGAGGTTGTTAAGTGATAAAATCATCCAGGCATAAATCAGCAGAAGTCAGGTTGACGTTAACATTGTAACACAGTTTTTCATTGCAGGAGAGAAATTAATTGAGGTAGGTTTTGTACCAGAAAGAATACAAGGCAACATTTTGTACTGCTTTACAAAAACGTATCAACATACTCAGTAACGATTCTTCAGTGTTTTATTAGCTGTCGCTGCATGCACGAAAATTTTATTTTAAAATTGCATTTATTCAATAAGCTAGAATTAATTTTTTTCTGTGGAATATTATTCTATGAAGAGTTACCATGTGTCTTCTCCAGTTCCACACACCAGTTACCCTGATCATGGTAGCTCCTAAGCACTTTAACACCCGTCACACCACCACAACAACACATCTCCTCCAGCTCTCCCTGCTGGAAGACATGATAATAGCGGTGAAATACAGGGCCCTGACTCATGTTCTCCAAGGGGCCGTTTGTGCTTCCACTCCCCGCTCCCTTGTTCTTATCCGCATTACATTTTAAGTGCCATGGCACCAGGAGATCTTGGGAAAGGAAAGCTGTGCGGTTAGTATGGATGTGGATTCTGGGCTGTGTCACATTCTGCTCCTCTGTGCATTTCATGTCTGAACTCATCATCTCCACACTAGCTCCAGCTGTTCCTTCTTTCAGATATTTTGATTTCTGGTTGTTGTATTCCTGCTCCATGGCCCAAACGTAGATCAGAGCTCTTCCTCCCACCTTTAATAACCGAACCAGCTCTCTGACAGCAGCCTGTCTTCTCTCCTAAGAACACATGCACTTTGTTCAGCATCATGTACAGATTTGCATATTACTTTTTTTGCATTTATGTATTTAAAAAATGTTTTGATCCAAAGTGATTTATACTGCATTTAAGATGTACATTTAGTCAATTCATGCATTCCATGGACATTGGAACAATGATCTTGGCGTTGCTAGCACCATGCACAACTCTTGGAGAGAGAAGAACGCAGGAATCACATTTTTTGAGATTTTTATGAGATTAAAAGGTTCATGTACTATGAAAATATTTAGGAGAAAAAATATTTATTGAAAATAAACTGTAAAAACACCTCATTCACAACTTAAAGACATCAGACAGATAAATAACTGTCATGTGGAGGTAATAAGAAAGCCAGAGAGATATTATCATTCCTAAACACCAGAAAAACTAAAGATTACATTATCAAAGTAAAATGTACTAAAGTTTGGGGATTTTTAGTGTTTTTGAAAGAATTTGCATTTATTTGATAAAAATATTACAATTTAAAGGGGTCATATGATGCTATTTTAAAGATCATTATTTTGTGTATTTGGTGTAACAGAATATGTTGACATGCTTTAATGTTCAAAAAACACATTATTTTTCAAATACTGTACATTATTGTAGGTCCTCTATGCCCCGCCTCTCTCAAACGCTTCGTTTTCTACAAAGCCCCCTCCTTTGACAAGCGCAGTCCGCTCTGATTGGCCAGCTGACCCAGTGCACTGTGATTGGCCGAACACCACAAGCACACCTCGGAAATGTAAC